TGCGATTGTTTCTGAGTCCACCATTTCTTCGGTTGAGATTGCCGATGACGAAAGAGATGACTCTACCAATTGAGAAGGAGTACTAAACGAACTGGATTCTTTTTGGGCCATGTCGAGTGTCTTAGCAATACCTAAAGCCATTTTCAAGTGAAGGGATCTTTTCTCAAGTAGCCTCTGTCTAATTACACTCGAACGCAAACGCTAACAAAGGCATCGCGAATGGCGTCCTCTTCATTTTTGTCAGTACTAACAGCTCGGAACTGACAATCTCTGGCCATCACTCTCAGCTTGTGTACAAATTGATCAAGACTTTGATCGACTTCTTGTTTGCAAGTTGCAAGCAAATGTCTGGCCAATGTTTCATTAGGGGCCTTCACAAATAAATTCTCAAGAATAGATTTTGCTTCTGAGTATTTAGAACAGGTAGAAATATACTGATATAAGGATGGAGACACAAAGTTGCATAGCAGGTCAAACTGTTCGCTTTCACTAGCCCCTACCTTCGTTGCGAATCTGTCAAAACAAGAAATCCAATGTTTCCATGTAACTGAAGCATTAGTTGAACTAGGATCAGCATCCAGTCTATTGGGACGCAAAAACTTGTCCATTTAAGAATGGTTTTATTGAAATAAATTGTAATATACTAAATCAACTCATAACCTTAGAAACAAGGCTTTATTTCAATAAAACACGACTGATACACAATAACGCAGTACAGACTGGTCACGATTCTAAGACTACGATAATGCGAACACGATTACAAATACTTGCACGATTACAAGCACGGGTAACACAAAAGTTCATTTAACGATCACTCCAGTCAACTTCCCCTAAAGAAAAACGTGGCAATCTGTTAAAAAAAACAAAAACTAAAAAATGTTTAAAGAATGCAAACAAAATTAATATTACAATAGAGGCAAACACAAAATGTTTAAGGTATGGTATACAAGAAGGATTATTGCTATATAATGACGTTAGACAAATCCTGAAATGTTTATGGTATGGTGTATAAGAAAAACTGTTGCTATAGCCTAATGATGAGACTCTGTATTTTTTCTTTAACAGTATCCACACAATGAAAATTTTAAAAGCCTTAGCTAAGCCTATAGAATTAATCCTAGATCAAATTGTAGAAAAATGTATAATATAATAATTAGTATTAAGATATTCTAGCTAGATCTAAATATGATAATCTAAATCTATGTCTAGTTTATAGATCTAGAATTTCTAGATGCGTATAGATCTATTTAATTCTATTACCTAGAGCCTAGAGTCTTTAAAATTTACAAAAAATAAAATCTAACATGTATTGAGTATTAGTGAATAAAGATATCTAACGCTACCTGGACCTGGTTATGTGGTATGCACGATGGACTGTTTGGTTGCCTCGATGGTCTCTGCATGGTCGTCTTGTTCATACCCCGCAACTGCCATCACTTCCCTGAGCTCATTGCCTTTGAGGTTTAGACTACCAAGTAGATATCTTCAACTCTGAAGGAGCATTTAAAAAAAACTAAAAACTAATGTCAATACAGGGCTATAGTCTATAGCGGCTATAGGGTTAGCCGTTAGTCTACTATAAAGATATACTATATAGTATTATATACATATTTAGCTAGGCATATCTCAATATCTGATTTTAAAACCAAAATAAACGTTTGATTTTATTTATTTGTGTAAATTTAAACAATCTAAACTCTATAGACTAGATTGTCAAGATCTGGAGTGTAGGCCTATTATTGTACATTAGTCTCTACAAATTAAATATCTATATTATAAGATTATAAGTCTATAGGTCTATGACTATAACTAGATCTAGAATTATTTAATCTAAATGACCTATCGCCTATAGATTCTAGTATGAAAAAATTAAAGATTAGTCTATATTAACAATATATTAAATATTATTCTATATACTACTAAATTTTCTAATAACAACTAACATTATTCTAGACTATCTTTTATTAGATCTAAGTTTACTAAGTCTTAGTATATCTTATATTATAGGTCTAGGGTCTAGGTCAATTTTTTTTAACCTCAAAATATTTGAATTAGAATAGAACTAAAATCTATATGAGTATAATAATCATTATATTAATATACCAAAGTCCTAAGTCTAAGTATTAGTTTACGGTAACGTGACTAGATAGGCATATAGATCTAATATTCTGCCCTAAAAGGTAGTAGATTTAGATAAAATTTAAGATCTAGTTACTAGTAAGTCCTTAACTAAATCTCTATGCTGCAGATGCATTTCATGGTAGATTCTATTCTAAATAGTAAATCTAGAAATCTAGTCATAACGCATGCATGTTAATCATTTAAGTAGTCTAGATTTAATAGGTCTCAAACTCAAGTCTAGATATAATATATATTATATCGTACTAATCTAGATCCAGTAGCCTATATTATAATAAAACTACTATCTAGATTAGATCTGTTAGTAGTGTTCGAGTACTTAGAGATTCGTCCTCTGTACCTGTGATAGGCTTAAGACTTTAACTTAAAAGTTACGACCATGTCACCATTCCATGGCTGCTGGCATGAATTGAAGAACATATGATATCAAGAAGTACAGCTCATATAATACATCTCAATTAAATTAATGAAAGTCTAGTTAGACTAGACCTAGATCTATAGCTCTATAAAATGTAGTATAACTAATAACTAAACAGATCTAGATCTAGCTAGCTCTAATTTGATCCAGGTGTGTACAATAATCCAGTTTGTGCCGAATATCGCGAGCTTAAAAGAAATAAAAGCTTATTTTTCATTGGTCGAAAAAAATGTTAACAGGTATAAAAAAATTTTTTTTAAATCTAAATCTAGAAAGAAAAAAAAAAAAAGGATATGTTCTCCTTTAGATTCTCTGTGTGATTAAATATTACTAGATATAGATATATTTTTTTAGTGTGCACATTAAAAAATCAGACACACACACACATACACTATTTGATTACGAAAAGTCTGCATTGGGCCCATATGGGTAAAACTTCACTATTCCAGTTAGGGATTTCCCCAATAGAACCCTAATTAATTTTTTTTTTAAATCTTAATATTGCTTACAAAAAGGATTCAACGCAAAATTTAGCTTTAAGACAATTAATACTAAATTTTAAAACATCATAATGTTTTTTTATTTTATAATAAAGATTTCATCATGTTGATTCTGGCGTGATTGAGGAAATCCCACACCGGCATGAAAGCGGAAAGACGTTAACGGCCCAATAACTAAAATCCCACACCGATCTGTTAACGTTTTTATAGGGGCGAGTGTAAGTAGGACAATTTACCCAATGAAACCTTATTACCCCACACCGCGGCAGAATGGTTTCGATAGAGCTTTGTTTATAGGGGGGTGCTACGGAGATTATTTTTTTTTGTTATGGAGTAGTTCTTCAAAACATTAATATTAATAAGTATCATAGTAAAAGTTTTCACAAAGAACCTTTTTTCATGGATTTCTTGAACCATAATAATTTGAATAAAAAAATACTTCATTACCAGACAAGGTTGACTCAGCCAGTTGTATAGAGAAATATGTTGCTTGCAGGAATATGTCGTTTGCAAAGACTTACATAAGAAGAAAGATATATTTGACTATATTGCAACAGAGCTCAAGAATTTAGTGAACCCTTCTACAAATCCATTGCCCTAACAACCAATCATTGGTCCAATGGGTAAGAGTTTGCATGGATGGTTCTCAGAAAGCCACCTCAAACGGAGGAGATGGAATACTCATTGAATGGCCCAATAGAAAAAAAATAATTTAAAAATTAAGTTAATTGTATCTAATGAGCTCTATAAAACCACAGAGAAGAAATAGGAGCACTGGAGCTAACAGCTACCATGCTTAGGAATCAGCCAAGTTTGCCAAACAGTTAAATTTTTTCGTGACCAATATAAAAAATAGTCCTTCAAAGATATTCCTCTTAAATAAAACAACTCATAATGACTGGACTGACGTTCGGTAGTCACCTTGCCTTCTCGCATCTCCCGTCGGGAGGTTTGGGCTAGGATAATCTGAAAGAACATCCAAAAGATTTTGTACAAAACTTATTGTGTGACAGTGTAAAGCTCAACAACAACAGCAAGAACAGTTTCCAATGTTGAAATAGTAGTAAATAGAAGGCTGACACACTTCCCAAATATGAGAAAACACACTTGAACATCACACTCTATCCGGAAGAAATGAAGAAACTAATAGTGAAAATTTGGGACCATTGAAATTGCACTTTTGGAGTGTCACCACTGACTCAACAGAGAATGTCTTCAAAATTGCATTCTTCATCAAGCGGCCACAAAACCCAAACATGAAATTCTTTTAATGATATAAATTTGTGTAAGAGTTTCTACGATTTCTTCAACGGCTGGTAAAATCAATAATTTTGCATATCGTGTGAGATTTTCAGTATTTTACTATAAGTAAAGAGACATAGTAAAACGCTCACTAATCATCATCTTCTCAAAGTCAGGTCAAAGAGAAATTTTGTGGGTGTATTCTGAGCTTTATTTTTGAGTCTTTGAAAGTTTTGCAAACCTTTATCTTTTTACCAGGGTGGCATCATCTCAAATGATCCTCCAGCTTAATTGGTTTCATAGCATCATGAAAAAAATGACACATTAACACTCGCTTGTTTGACAAGGAAGCAATGAAGTTCAATTTCAAATACTTAACGCTGTACAGTCTACTTTTTTTTTTGCTAAAGTTATAACTAGACAAAACTACACTATTTAAATAGTTATTAAATTAAATGAAACAATTTTTCATTCAATCAGCAAGATAAACATTTTACGGATTTCCTAAGGTACAAATCATATGTGTGTATGAAAAAATTCCAATTGTCAAAATTAAAGTCACTACATGCTGAATTGAGATTCTTTATCATATACCCTCAATTCCCTTTTTAACCTTCGTAGACCCCTGGGGGGTCTATATAGACCACTTTGGGAATCACTGATAAAGATTAAATTCAAGAAACAAAAATTGAACACAAAAAATGGATGATGCAAATTTTATTCTATTTGTTATTGGACAAAATACAATGAAATCAAGTGAACCACATTTTTTTTCTCCAATGGAGTAAATATTATTAATAAAATACAGTGAAATCAAGTGAACCTCTACATTGTTTCTGTAATGACATCAGTGTTCAACACTAACCTGCAGCCAAAAGCTACAGTTACAGAGTTACAGAAAAGAGCATAGTTAATTATTAGTTATTATTAGATATTTTTTAAGAAAGTTCAATGTACTCAGCAGGATTAAAGTGAAACTGTTGAATATACTGTCTAAAAGAACTACAATTATCTGGTTCAAAGACTACCCAGTACTTAAGACCACAAACAATTAGTTCCACCTTCCTTTAGCAATAAACAAATATAATTAATAAAATAAAATAAGCATTTTTTTTTTACACAACTTTGTCCACTTCATATCCCAATGTATAAGAATGGACGGATTAAATACTGTAGTACAAGTGAAACCTTAAATTGATTACAAAACTTGAATACATAACTTAGATAACATTAGTTTTGTGACAATGACATGCGGAAATATTAAATCAATTTGTATATATCTAAAAATACATTTTCTTTTCTAAACTTGATCAAGTTGTGGTTTTTATGCAAATTTAGGTAGTATAAAAATATCAAGTTTGCTTTGGTTTTACTTTTCTTATGTCAGAATAATTGACAGTCAAACTGTTTAGAGATTTTGAATTTCCTCCCCATGTGGGATCCAAGAAGCTTTTTGAAAATCTAATGCTCATCTCATCAACAATATGATGACACCAACACTCATCTCATCAACAATATGATGACATCAACACTCATCTCATCAACAATATGATGACACCAACGCTCATCTCATCAACAATATGATGACACTAACACTCATCTCATCAACAATATGATGACATCAACACTCATCTTTTTTTCTTTTGATTTGTTGTTTCATAGAAAATTTTTAAGTCTTTTTTACACTCAAAAAGGTTCTTTCTGGATTTATCATCAGCAGTTTACTCCACCCCACCAGCCAGACAATGCAAACACATTTTTAGGAGCTTGCAACCCACAGTTTGAGAAACACTGATTTAGAGATTTATTCAGGAAATCAATACACTTATAGAATAATATATACATTTATTTAGTACTGTAAGCTTGATGCCTCTTACATGCTTAGCAATTCTTTGAATTGTCAACATTTAAATACTATTTGATCAACATATATGTCCCATATGAGCTGCTAGCATTACACTAGAGATAATTTATAGATCAGTGCTTACAAAGTATTGACAAGTGAAAAGTATCATCAGACATATAGGAGAAGTGCCCTTCAACACACATACATAGGGTGAAACCATAGCATGAGTCAACTGAAACAAAAAAAAACAACACAGAATACACAAGAGAATGTTCAATAAATAATTCATTTCAAATAATATTAATTCAACATTGGGATGTCTTAGGGACATTTCTTAGGATAAAAAAAAAGAAGCTAATGAAACAGCCAATAATTTAGAAATAAATTTGATGTTGTCAAATATATTGATTCATTTTTACACTAATTTTAAATCAAATGATCATATTAGAAATTGTGTATGTAACAAACTATGATAATGGGATATATGTACATAACAAACTATCAACATAGCTTTAGGTTTGAGATTATATTACTGGAGTTCTTTTTATTTTTAATATTAGATTTCAATTCAGAACTAAGTTATGAAAACTCAAGTTATGAGAGCAGGTTGGCTCTACAGTTTTAAATAATTAAACTAAAGCAAACACTTATGTTGGTGAATCACATCCTTTGATCCAAGTCATTAAAAGTTGATGTATTCAAATTAAAACCATTCATTTAAAATATTGCTATTATTGTTATTACATTTAAAAAAATATATTGTAGACATAAGTATGAACAGCAAAGAAAACTTTTGATTTTTTTTAATGTATCAAGAAAACTGAAAAATGATAAATATTTGATCAAAGAAAATCTCTAAGGATTGCTTTGAAGTAGAATAATCTTGGTAGAGATCAACATGGAGTCAACACATACACTGAGAAACTCAGATGTATTCAAAAGTTAATTTCTCTGAAATAAAAAGAAAATTAAAAAGTATTAATCATTTACATTTCAATATTTTCTCTGCAAACTTCAATAACATGAATAATCATCTTTTACATTAATAAACAAAACAAATGTTGAATGATAAAATCTTAAAAAATAATGAAAATTGATAAATACAAATATGTTACTTTTTCTTGCTTTTTTGTCTTAAATGCAACTAGCATTATCCACCAGCTTTGCTAATTGATTTGTTCCCAGGCTTAATATTGTTTTGTTGGTTGTGTTTTTTTTTTGTCATGAACCCTTTCCATTACTTTTCTTTATTATAACAATATAATGATATAAAGTTAAGGGCTATTCAGACTAGCTTATTCATCCACCCCCCCCCCCCCCCCCCCCAACTTTTCTTCGTAACAAATAAGGTCAGTCTTATTTACATAATATGACTATTCTTCTGTTTTTCAGTTCTTATTTGAAATATTTCTTAGGCTCTAGGATAGTTTTTACACTGAGCCCTTTTTTATTGTTTCTTATTACATCCTGCAAAGGTTCACATAATACTTCGGCCATACCCCCCTTTATTTTTTTCACTTCTAATGGAACAATACAAATCCCCCCCCCCCCCCCCCCCCCCCCATACTAGAATATGTTACATTTAATTGGGATGGTCCTCTTTAAATTACCCTGCCAAAGACACATCTGGCCTGTGAATTCTCTATCACATTTCCCCCTCCCCTTTTTTTTTTTTCAAAACATTTGAATTTAAGTATCTGTTATATTTAATTGGTATATATTTGATATTTTTGTCTTTTGGCACATCTGCACAATTTAGGCCATGTCGTGCCCATAAACCATCAAGAGTAACTTCCCCTTTATAGCTCAAGATCTAAATGTTATATAGCTAAGTTATTAAAAATAAATTCAAAAAAGCTCAAATAGTACAAATGTATATATTGCTCCCCTTCCAAAAAACATTTTTGTCAGTGAATTCGATTACCAATATCACCCCACCCCCATTCTCCACCTTAGAAAATAGTTTACAAACAATGCATCTTCTTCAACTTTTCTGCTTTTCATAAAAATATTTCAATGTTCACTGAAGCTTTTAAACATCATCAATTTTTGAATCAACTAACATTGCCATGTCACAAGTCTTACATTACAACATGTGACGTGGCCAATGAGCTAGTGGTCTAAACTGCCCACAGATTGCGTCATTGCTGGTTAGTTTTCAGGCCCTCTCTTGCTTGAACCTTGACCCTCAGATTAAAAGTCTGATGCTCTACCAACTGAGTTAACTGAGTCTTAGTGATATCAAAAGGTCAAGTGTGTAAAAATGGAAACATCATTTTGTAGTTTTTAATTTAAAAAAACAGATCAAGTGAAGTTTGCAAAAAAAAACTTTATTGTTAAATTTAACTGCCGTGATTTAGATAATGAAAATATCTTAGTTGTCATAGACCAAAGGTAAGTTAAATTTTTTTTATTTTTTCATCCACCACGAGTGTGAGAATTAGTGATGAGTGAATAGACTTTTGCATACATATGCAAATATATATACATATATATATATATATATATATTAAGATTTAGTTATAGCATATATACAATATTTAATTTAAAAAATAAATCTATTGTTATACAAAATGAATTTTGGTTATGAAGCTATACTAAGTAAGTGCAATGTGTCTGGCCACTACTTTATGAATTGTTATTTGTTAAGCTTTTAAAGAAAACTAGCTGAAAAGGTTCAGATCAAATTACATGTCTTTATACAACCAGAATTTCAGTTTTGGTTTAATTTACAGATTGTCTTGAACTAGTTTTTGATTTCCTAGAGAGAGAGAGAACTAGCAAAGAGACAAAGTTGCACACAAGTGGAAAGAGAATTGGTAAAGCTGCTAAAAGAAAATGTCACAAGTTTTTATGTCAAATATTCTAGAGAGACCAAATGTCATAGAAACACTTGACAGTGTGGCTGCTTCAACATGTTTTATACAGAAAACTTAAACTTTTAGTCAAAGCGTGATAATCTATACAAGCTAATGAAGCATCCAATCCAAAGATTGATTTGTTTGGTGCATAAATCTATTTTTAAATTTCAAGGCATACAAGAAGTTCATTTTTTTCTAATGATTTATTTTATTTATTGATGTGTTACACATTTATGTCTGCCACAACTTTTCACCCATAAATAAGGTAAATGTACTGTAAAACTTACCAAGGTTAAGGCCAGTAATTATCAGACAACTGAAACAAAGACGGATAACAATCCTGATTCTTAGAAGGAATTTTGTGTGTGTCTCTTTAACATTTTATTTGTAAAGGAAGTGTCTTTGAGTTGAGTACTTTTCACTGGTTCTATCTATTTGAGTTGAACACTTTTCACTAGTTCTTTCTATTTGAGTTGAACACTTTTCACTAGTTCTATTTCTATTGATAGGAAAATCCCCTTGTACTCCTTTATTTAAAGTGACATGAAAATCTTTATTAGTTCTGCTTAGAGATTATATTCTCAAGAGTTACAATAATGATCTTTATCAGTTCTGTTTAGAGATTATATTCTTAAGAGTTACAATAATGATCTTGTATCAGTTCTGTACACCATTAGGTAGGACAATGTGTAGAAGCTGGAAAAAGGTGTTATTAATTAAATATAGTATCAAACAGCAGTGCACTGAAATCACACAGACATTTAATAAGCTTTAGAAAAAAAAGAAGCTAGAAGAAGATCTTTAAAATCAAATGCATTTTTTTTTAATTCAAAAAAAAAAAAAAAAAGTAAATGTATCAAAGTCTTTACATTTTTGTTGTTGATTGATTTTATTCATCTAGTCAGTTGAAAAGATTTTGTTTACTTACTGAAATTTATTTTCTTACTTTCTTTTTGCAGTTAAAAAACAAACAAAACAAAAAAATGTAGATTAAAACAAAAGAAAATGTGATTTCATCTTCTACTATTAGGACTAGAAAGAATTAGTTGAGAGTTTTTGGTAGATTACCACTAACTAGTGTACCCTTATTTCTTCTGACTTCTATAATGTCGGTATTGTGATTGAATAAGACGAGCAGCAGCCTCTTTTTGACTTTTTTCATCTACTGAAGACTTTTGTATTTTTCTAGACACATAACCTCTATAACTGGCCTGAATTAGACTTGCGGCTTTCTCTTGTTGAATGATGTTTTTGGCCTGAAGTTCTTTTTGATTTGTCAGTTGCTTTCTTGTTTTGAAGCTTCGATAGCCTGACTGAATTTTGACTGCTGCAGCATTTTGCTTTTTGACATTGACCTGTTTTCTTGAAAGGTAACCTCTATAAGTAGCCTGGATCTTTATAGCATTCCTTTCTTTCTGCTTTAAAGATTTCCTTGCTTGATGGGCTCGATACGATGATTGGATTTTTACAGCAGCTTTGATCTGCTCCTGGTGAGCTAGATTTTCTCTTGCCTTATATCCTCTATAGCCTGCCTGAATTTTAACAGATGCATTAATTCTGTCTGCTGTGCTTCCAGCTTTTAAGTGTTTCCTGTTTTGATAGCCTCTGTAAGCTGATTGGATTTTACTAGCTGCCATGTCCTTTTTATTTTGTTGCGATACATATTGCCGAGTTTGATGACCTCGATAAGTAGCTTGTATTTTTTTTGCTGCTTTAATTTCATCCTCTTCATTGATATGTTTTGTTTGACTTTGCCGTCTGTAAAGGTAGCCTCTATAAGCAGCTTGAATCTTTCTGGCAGACAACACCAT